GTCAGTACTGGTTTATTCAGACGCCTGAGATGAAACATGAGGTCGGAGTTACATCTGTTTCACTGTTGGAAGCAGGAGAAGATTTTAAATCCTCCAAATCCTGATTTTCAGTGTTCAGTGGCTCCATCCTCCACGTCTACATCTCGACTCCTCAGATTCTTCATCATCAGACGAAGGATGAAGGAAAAATGATTCATTTTTTTATTGGCTGTAACTTGAAACCAACTCAAAGTCTCCTCTTCCTCATCACTCATCGTTTCTTTTAGAGGAGAAGGCGCCTCTCCTCTGAGCCCAGTGGACAGAGAACAGCAGGCAGATGTTTGTGTTTGCAGCTGGCTGTATAAATAACTGCAGCTCTCATTTCAGGCGGTGGCTTTGTTGAACGTCCTCTTTGATGTTGAAATGCAGAATTCAGACGGGATTAACACTCAGAGCTAATTACTGAGAGGAAGCTGCAGCGCAGACGCCTCAGCGTGTGTGTGTGTGTGTGTGTGTGGTTTCAGCAGTGTGGTGTGTATGTGTGAGGCTTTTTTTTCCTGTTAGGTATGTGTGTGTGTAAGTGTGTGTGAGTGTGATGCTGTGGTTTCACTGGTGTGTACGTATCAAATCTGAGCCTCTTAATGATCATAATAATTTATTTATAGTCTCTGTGTGAATCTGCTGACATGTTTGACCATTGTTATCCTGACACATACTCACCACTGTGTGAGGATATTTGTTAATTGTGTGAAAGTGTAAAGGCTGCCGCTCCAACACGACCTCCACTCGTCTCGTAGCAGCTGCTGCTCTGCGGACGGAGCAGGACGGTCAGTGGTGGAGATGGAAGAGATTCCTGTGAGTGTTCACGTCGTCAGACAAATGAAGGTCATGGTCATGTGAGGTTCAGACATACTGTGCGTAGACAATACGTCACTGTATCTTTAAACTGCTGTTAAAGGACAGGGTCGCAGTTTTTCAGGTCCGTCTTAAAGCAACAACAACGACCTCCGACCTGCACAGGTCGTTTGTTTCCGACCCTCCGATACGACCCGGAGGAGTGTCTCCTGACGTAGCGCCCCGAAGGCGGCAGGTGTACTGGAACCTCGGTTGTCATGGTTACAATAATAAACACGCAGACTGAACCGAGAGTGGCGTACCTGCCTTTGTCGCCATGGTTACTATAATAACAGTCATTGCTTGGTTAGGTTCAGGAAAACATGGTGATTTGGGTTGAAATAAGTACTTCCTCAACATTGATGAACTTTGTTGTCATGGTTACAGTAACAACATAAACTGCTACTTTCACACTCTTTATACTACGTCACTCTTTCCCCTCTGCTCCTGTCATAATTGCTACGACCACTAGATGTCGCCTAGCAACAAAACGTAACTAAGGGTCATAATAACCTGCTGCACAGGACGACCGGTGGATGGGCTCGTTCTTTTACAGTCAGAGCAGTCAGGTGTCCACATGCGATGGTTCCTCTTGTTCTGACTGGACTTCAGATAAAAAAGATGATGACGATGCAAAAACATATTCCAGAGTTTATCTGAAGTTAATATCAGCCTTCAGCGGTCTGAGTGGATCTCTTTCAGAGTGGCAGCGCTTCGTTATAACTCAGGCCTGACCACGGATCCCTCAACACTTAAAATAAATACAGTGTAATGTAAATGAAAACAGAGGCGGCGTGGTGTACATTACATTTTGTTGAAAGCTCAGAAGCAGCTTTTCTTTTTTCTTCTTGCAGAACATTTGTTTGTGAGTCCGATGATGATTCTGTCTCAGAGCAGGTGTAGATGATGAAGTGTAGTCACCTGAGTCCAGCTGGTGATTTCAGCGAAGACGCCACTGTCCCCCTAAACTGCAGATCCAGCGCACCGTGTCCTCCTGTCCTCTGGAGTTTGAACCCCTGATGAACTTGGTGTACTCTGTATTTAAAGTGATTTAAGAGTCATGTTACTAGACCACAGAGCCTGGTTCCAGAGTCTTGAACCGCTACCCTGGTCTCAGATTGTTTTCACTGATTCAGATACTGTAGGTCTGGTGTTGTGTTCGCTGATGGCTGTTTGCCCGGTTAGAAAAACAACAGAGTAACTCAGAGCTTTGTAGGAGGCTGTTAGGAGCCTGCTTTAGTATCTAGACTGAGGCCAGTTTCTACCTTAAAAAGTGCATGTGTGTATGTGGGCAGGGGGAAGTTCAGGGCTTACCTGGATTTGGCGATCTGAAGCAGAGGCCCAGTGAGAGGCCAGATCAGGCGCCGGGTGTTCGTGAGACTGACGTAGCAGCAGGACTGAGGATGTGGTTCTCGTCTTCCAGACAAATGAATAAAGTGACCCTGTGTACACGAGAGCCAACAATACACAATCTAACCACAGCCGTTAGCCCCACGCTAGCATTGCTGTGATACTCGTAGGGTTTCTTCTCTCAGTAGAGCCAGACCAGTATCTGCTCCACGGTCAGACTGGGAAAGAAATTCATCCTTGGGCGCATCTTCTGGGACCGACTGAACAAATGACACTGACAGAGGCGGTAAAAACTTTTTGATGGTCCACTGGCCAACCAGGATTTGAGCTGGTCTCTTTTTTTTTGTCAGATGCCATTTTTTAGTTGAACACGTAGTTTCTTCAGTGGAGTAAATTACCTGAGCGCTGCGTAGCCTACTGTGCTGGGACATCTAGCATGCACATGCTATCGGCTAGCAAAACAAGCAACATAGAAACTCAGATTATAACACACACATGGGGGGGGGGCGGGGGGTGATTTCCTCCTCTGCTCAGGATTACTCCACTGTTTCTGTACATAGAGAATAGTTGTCTGCTGTTTAAAATCTTGTTTACAGAAACTTTGAATCAACATATTTCCTTTGAAACGCTTGTGAATTATAAACAAGTTGCTCTGTGGTCACAGAAGAAAGTCCTGCTCTCACCGCAGCGATGTTTGTACTCGTGTAAACCACTTGTTGACTCCGTCAGACCTCCACATCGAGCGGGTCTGTGGACATCCTGTGTCACCAACACAGGGCGGTTGTAAACAGTGATGTGTGAGTGAGAGCAGGGAGCTGACGGAGACACCTGAGCTCTCTGTCCTCACACTGTGATCTGAGCCGCTGGAGGTTTACTGAGGACAGACTGGAGTTAATCTGACTCCTGCTGTGGTTCAACCGAGGATCATCCAGATCCTCATTCACTGGGTCAGGTGGCCAGTCTCTCAGTGAGGGAGGGCGAGAGACACCGAGACACACAGGGACAGAGAGAGAGAGAGAGGGGGGATGTACTACATTTAAGAATAAAATTATCTGTTGGTTTTAATCATTTTTTGTCAACTTTTTTTTATTTGTGGTCAGTTTTTTTTAACGAAAAACATTTTATTTCGACTCAGTGAATGAAAATCATAAACATTTCAGTCCAGTTTTAGTTCAGACCGGTGATGAACATTTGAAACTTCTGCTCTAACAGGAGACGTCTGGTCTGCAGCTGCTGTCTGCTTCGTTTTAATGCTAAACTTGCAGGAAGTTTGCAGATGCTGACATGACTAATATCCAGAGTGAGGTGGTTCAAACCTGCAGCAGGCGATTTTTATTTTATTGTATCATGACATTTTACGTGAGAGGAACTTCAGTGCTTTTAACCTGTGCGGCACTTTGATGTTTGAGGACACACACAGGTCACTGGAGCACGTCACGTCTCGAAAGACTGAAAATGTCCAGGTGATAGCAGCATGACTCCGGGGTAATGAGGTCCGTCACTGTGACTGGTGTTGTTGGGTAGTTGCACACACACAGGCAGTATTTCAGTATCGTCTCATAATGAAGTTTTGATTTATTATAATACATCGATAACAAACCTATACTGGTATGTTGTGGTGTGGTTTGTGAACAAAAGTTTCAGTTTCAATCTGATAAAAAAAACAGATTTTCATGGGCAGGATGTGGCTCTTCAAAACCTGCAGTTTTCTCACATTCAAACCCAAACTGAGGAGGTGTTTGTTCCGTCTTTGTTTTTCATGTAGTTCAATAAACAGAAAAGATCTGATCCAGGAACAGATTTATAAAAAGAATAAAAGATTAAAGAGCAGAGTGTTTCTGTTTCAAGGACAAACAGCTGAGAGACGATCGTTCCTTCGCTCTGTCTCTACACCTTGTTTTTAATGTGTGTTTTTTTATGTGTAGTAACAGTGTGTGTTTGAGTGTGTGTTTGAGTGTGTGTTTGAGTGTGTGTTTGAGTGTGTGTTTGAGTGTGTGTGTGTGCTCATGTGGCTCCACCCTTACATAACTTCCCTCTTCTAAATTTAGCCGCTCAGAGCCGAGCTGTCACTGTTTCAAACTGCTGAGTGTATGAACACGGTCGGTCGGTCGGTGTGTTTTCAGTGTGAGCTGCTGACGAACCGTCGACGCTGCGACACCAGGTCCTGAAGCTTTAACGTCGTCACGCTCCGACACAGGAGCAGAGTTCTGCAGCTCAGCAACAAAACCCCTTCAAACTGTGACAAGCAGAATCAAACCAACACCAGCTGATCTGGTCTTTTCATGTCGACCAATGAGAAACGCATGAAGAATTAAAACAATGGGAGTTTAATCTGTCGACATGGAAACGTAGTTGGAAAATACATAATCAAATATTTGAATCTCAAAAGTTCATGTAACGTTTATTATAGATTGATTTTTATCTGTTTTTAAATACAGTGTTTTGCTTCAATATATTCTTGTTGTTTGTGTTGTTGTTTATATAAATTTAATTTCTGAATTGACTCAGAGGTCGACCTTCACCGCCTCATGTTGTCATGGAGATTTCATTTGACTTTCTTGCGCAGAGCGGCCGACAGTTTACTGATCACTGACCTCTGACCTGCTTTAATCACATTCTGATGTCGCGGCGGAGTAAAACCTCACAGCCTCTGCCAGAGATCACCTCAGTTCAAACCCGCCTGTTTGTTCCTGATGCAGCTGCTGACAGATGTTCAGATGTTGTGAGTGTGTGTCTCTGACTCTGACGGTCGGTTGTTGTTATTTTTCTCTCTGCAGCTCAGATTGAAATCATTCCCTGTAAGATCTGCGGAGACAAATCTTCAGGGATCCACTACGGAGTGATCACCTGCGAGGGCTGCAAGGTAAGCCCCCTGAAATACTGGGTCATTTGTACGGTGGCCCCGAGAGCTCAACACACTCGTTTGCACGTGTTTTCTTAAACTGCAGTGCGTTGAGCTCTGAGAGTTATTTATCTGAAACCATGTGAGGAGTTTAGAGGCGACATGACTCTTTGATTGAACCACAAACATCTTTCAATCGTTTCTAAAGTTCTAAACAAGCGACTGTAGCTACAACAAAACTCCCCTGAAGTTCTGTTCTTGACTTTAATAAAGTACTTGAGCACCTTAGAAAGCATCAATCGTTTTCATCAAACGTGATCCAGGGTTGAATAGTTTCATTGTTTGTCAAAACTCACAACATTATTTTCCTCTGGTCACCATCGATGTGATCTTCTTTCTCTGGCAGCGTCTCTGTCTGTCCCCCGCCTGTGGTCCGTCCACTGTCTGAGTCTCAGGGGAAGCGTTGGTCGTTTGGCGTCGACCATCAGTCACAGTCGTTTGGCTCAGGAAAGCTTCTCCTGTTCGAGCAACTCCCAAACAAGCTGGTGTGATCAGCTGCTGCAGCTGTTGCCGCCGCTCCAGCTGTCGGCAGCTGGAGGCTCATTTCACAGCCAACGAGCAGCTGATGGAGATTTATCTTTGTACAAACGAGAGAGAGGGAGAGAGAGCGAGAGAGGGGCTGATGGGATGGTAGAGGCTGGGGATTCTGGGTAGAGGATGGTAGTGGAGTGCAAAGCGAATCAAGGAACCTGTAACGTGACAGAAGGAGTGTCGTCACTGACTGTATGAGGAAATAAAAGCTGTTCACACGTCCCTGTTCCCTCGTGTCTCAGGGTTTCTTCAGACGGAGTCAGCAGAGTAACGCCGCCTACTCCTGTCCTCGCCAGAAGAACTGTCTGATCGACCGCACGAGCCGAAACCGCTGCCAGCACTGCCGTCTGCAGAAATGTCTGGCTGTGGGCATGTCCCGTGACGGTGAGACACACACGCACACACACACACACATTACAAACCTATAAACACAAACACACACCTGCAGAAACACCTGGTGGTCAGCAGTTTTAAATGATGCCTACAGGAGGATCTGTGTGACCTGTTAGCAGGAGGAGACAGTCTGTAGAATCGGTTCGTTGACAGGAAGAGAGACAAAGACCAGTCCAGAGCTGGAGTCAGGATGTGGTTAGCTTAGCTTAGCGTAAAGACTGTAGGTGGAGGGAAACAGCTAGCCCGGCTCTGTCCTAACTTGCTCTCCTGTCCCTCAGCGGTGAAGTTCGGTCGCATGTCCAAGAAGCAGCGGGACAGTTTGTACGCTGAGGTCCAGAAACACCGTCTCCAGCAGCAGCAGCAGCAGCAGCAGCAGCAGCAGGGCCCCCTCCTGCTGTCCCACCCCAGCCTCGGCAGCCCGAGCCCCGCAGAGGCCGAGCCGCTGTCCCCCCACTACGGCCTGTCCTCCAGCGGCCTCACGGAGCTCCCTGATGACCTGGGGGGCTACATGGAGCAGAACTCCCCCGAAGGAGGATCAGTGTCATCTAAGGTTTGTGGGTTTTTTTACTTTACAGTCTTGTGCAGCACAAAGTGAACTGAATTACCTGCAGTCTGTGTGCGCTGACCTTCTCCTGCACACACAGGCGGACTCTGGAGGTGAAGGAGGGGAAGGAGGAGGAAGAGGAGGAGGAGGAGGTGCGTTCTACCTGGACATCCAGCCATCCCCGGACCAATCAGGACTGGATATTAACGGCATCAAACCGGAGCCGCTGTGCGACTACGGCTCCAGTAACGGCTTCTTCCCGTACTGCTCCTTCAGCAACGGGGACGCGTCGCCCCCCGTGTCCATGGCCGAGCTCGGTGAGAAATACGTGCACACAGTTTCTATTTCTTTTTGGTCTTATGAATCATATTCAAATATTGCATATGACGGGAAATATCACGATATTCGATATTATCAAACATCGGCCCAAGCCTGTTTTTAATTTGATTTAATTAAATATTCCCAACTTCACAGGAACGTCTTGTCATTCAGTAGAACTCGCTCTCTCTCAAAGATATTGGATTTATTCATTAATTAAGGTTTCAATTACAAACCGTGTCTGAATGAAGCCGTGAGGAGCGTTAATGTGAAAGTCTGAACGGCAGCATGAGTGGAGGGGTTTCTGGGTAAAAACACAGAGAGGATCATCTGAAGAGGAGAAAGAAAAGTTTCCTACACAGAGCGCGGTGTTATTTGCATATTCACAGATTGTTCTTATTTCAGTAAATCCCAGGACAGCGGCTCAGAGAGGCGAGCCCTGGTTACAGGTCTGATTCCCTCTCTGAGCTCTGGATCCTCTCCTGGCTGCAAAACATTAAAACTTCCACCGTACGGCAGAAGGTTGTACAGAGCTGGAGGGAAAAACAAACAGAGAGAAGATGAGGAAACATCTTGAAAGAGGTGAAGAAGAAGAAGAAGAAGAGAGACGGAATAAGAAAGCACAAAGAAGAGTTAGAAACAAAAGAGGAAGAGAGAGAGAGAACTGTGGGGCAAACAGAGGGAGAGAGGTGGTTTAAAATAGCAGGAGGTTAGAAACTCATCTTCAGAGCTCATTAAAATCTCTGTGTGGTAATTAGCTGTCTGTTAATTAGGGCCAATTGGGACGTAGCAGGGCGCTCGTTGGGGGAAATCATCTTTTTATTCTCCCTGGAGATTTCTTTTTCTTTGACAAAAGCATTTATCGTAATAAAAGCCCCCCCCCCAAAGCCCCTGATCCAAACAACAGTTGTATCAGCTGGACGTGTCTTTGTACCTTGTGTTGTTTTGGTCTCTGGAACAATTAGCAGCAGCAGCACAGAGGAGCTGAACAGAAGAGTAATTACTGTACGTTTCTGATCTGAGCTGCACAGACACACAAACTATTTGTTGACAAAGTTTCAAACAGTGGAAACATTTGAACTGGAGGACCGAGGAACTCCTCCGAGCCACGATACGCCGGATGAAACATGCTGTCGGGAAGTTAGACTGATAGTGACGGTTTGATGAACACCTGTTGTTGTCTTTTTGTCTCAGACCACCTGGCTCAGATCATCTCCAAGTCTCACCTGGAGACGTGTCAGTACCTGAGGGAGGAGCTGCAGCAGATGAGCTGGCAGAGCTTCCTGCAGGACGAGGTGGAGAGCTACCAGAGCAAGGTGAGTTCACTGCGCCTCTTAATGTTGCTCCTGTTCCTCCGTCGTACGTCCCACACGAGGTCTCAAGGTCTCACGGGTCTTCCCTCTCTGCGCTGTGCAGCCGCGGGAGGCGATGTGGCAGCTCTGCGCCGTGAAGATCACCGAGGCCATCCAGTACGTGGTGGAGTTCGCCAAACGCATCGACGGCTTCATGGATCTCTGCCAGAACGACCAGATCGTGCTGCTGAAAGCCGGTGAGAGCCGCCGTCACGCCTCGGCTTCATTACCTTTCTTAATATGATCAAATATATTGATGGATGCTTTAGATTCACCGAACAGTCATTTAGTTACCACTGTGAGAAGTGAACCTTCTTTCTAATTAGCCCGAACAGACGTGTGTGTGTGTGTGTGTGTTTACAAATTCAGACAAACTCTATGATCACAATATAACCGTATCTACGGTGGCCCTGAGAGCTCAACACACTGCAGCTTAAGGAAACACATACACATGGACAAACACACAAACGTGCTGCAAAGACACAACATCACAACCACCGAGTCAAGCCAGTGCTGCGAACCTTTCTAGTGTCACCTGGACGAAGATGGTGAAGATGAAGGTGTTTTCTGACTGTGTGTGTGTGTGTTTGGTCTGTTTGCATGTGTTTTCTAAGGTTGCAGTGTGCTGACCTCTCTGGGCCACCGTACATTTTTCCCATTTAGAATTTTTTTCCACCTTTCAAATCTTTCCCTTCACACATTAAAACCACCTTGTTTGAAAAGAAAATGTTCTTTAATTAGCGACGACCGATTCATCACATTAATCAGATAGTCGTCAGTGAGTCGTTAAATAATCGTTAGGCCTCAGACATTAATCATCAGCGTTTCTCCGTCAGGCTCTCTGGAGGTCGTCTTCGTGCGGATGTGTCGGGTGTTTGACTCGCAGAACAACGCGGTCTACTTCGACGGGAAGTTCGCAGGTCCTGACGTCTTCAGAGCTCTGGGTGAGGACAGAGGAGGGACGCTTCCCTCCTGTTGACGTCTCCTCTGTTTATGATCAGAGGAAGAACGCTCTCTAACTCTGACCTCCTGACCTCCTGACCTGTGGGTCACATGGTAGAAAACATGTATAGAGACCACAGCTGATAAACTGAGCACACGGGGGTTGAGGGAACATTTTCAGGTGTAAATACTATATGAAAAAACAGACTAATAACTGGTGTTATTAGAAAAGAGTGAACACAATATAATATCTCTGATGTAGTCCTGTGCAGACTGAAAAGAAGAGACTCACAGGATTCCCACTAACACCACTAACACCTCGACTCCGAACACGTCCTCCCTCACACTTCATTAAACCTTTCACACGGATTTTTTCTGAGGAAATTCTCTGAAACATATGAATCATATTTTTACACCATCACAGCTTTCTCTTCTCAAAACTCTTCATTTTATACACGATGGTTTATATAAGAAAGTAGTTCAGAGTAGTTACATGTTCTGTGGTCATCACTATTTTAATGTGTGTGTGTGTGTGTGTGTGTGTGTGTGTGTGTGTGTGTGTGTGTCACCAGGCTGTGATGATCTGATCACGTCAGTGTTTGACTTTGCTAAGAGCCTGTGTTCACTGCACCTGACGGAGGATGAGCTCGCTCTCTTCTCAGCTTTTGTTCTGCTCTCAGCAGGTAAGTCTCTCCACTCAGGTTCACCTCAGTCCACTTATCCCAGTCTGTCATCCTGAGTGATCTGCTAGATAAATGTGTGTGTGTGTGTGTGTGTGTGTGTGTGTGTGTGTGTGTGTGTGCAGACCGGTCGTGGCTGCAGGAGAAGCTGCAGGTGGAGAAGCTGCAGCAGAAGACTCAGCTGGCTCTGCAACACGTCCTGCAGAAGAACCAGAGAGAAGACGGAGTGCTGAACAAGGTACACATCTGAACACACACACACACACACACACACACACACACACACACACACATAGACACACACAGAAAACTGCATAAAGGGCTCACACTGCCCTCTGATGGAGAAACTGTGAACTATAAAATCTGAAAACAGCTGATCTGAATTTAGCAGCTGCGGGTATAATAATATTAAACTTTTACACACACACACACACTGAGGCCCCAGAGTCTATTTCTGAATTGTTGTTTTCTGCAGTAATCTGAAGTATCTAAGATCAGCGTCTAAAGTATAAACTAACCTTTACTCACCTCCTCTCCTTGTCTCCTCCTTCCTCTCCTCGTCTCCTCTCCTCCTCTTCCTCCTCCTCCTCCTCTCCTTTAGCTCAGATGTAAGGTCGCAGTGTTGCGTTCACTGTGCAGTCGACACACAGAGAAACTGTCGGCGTTCAGAGCCGTCTACCCCGACATCGTCCGGACGCACTTCCCTCCTCTTTACAAGGAGCTGTTTGGCGCCGACCTGGAACTGACGCTGCAGAGTGACGACTGAACGGCGGTCACTCGCTCCGCAGAGCCGACCGGCACCGAGCTGCTGGATTCAGACGCACTGAGCCCGGTTTGAGCAGCCACACAGAGGACAGGACGAGGACGAGGACTCGTGGAGGCAGAGGCTGCTGCACTTTGCACTGAGAGACCTGAACTCCTCCTCAGTTTGTCTTTCTTCACCTCCTCCTCTCGCTGGGCCTGGATGCAGTGAGGAGTCAGGTGGTCTCCCTCCACCTGCATCAACACACATCTTCTATCAAGGATCTCGGATCCAGCTCTGACATTAAAAGGTACTTTCAGTATTCACACTGAAACCCGTTTTTTTTTTCCTTCACTGGATTGTCGAGACGTCGGCTCTTCTACCGACGATCTCTTCACGTCCGAACAGTGGCACTGCAGAACTCATTCACACGTCCTTGAGAAAAAAGCTTCAGCTGCTGAGCTTCTGTGGCTGAGTGAGCTCACCGGTCCTGGACGGATTACTGAGCGGACCTACAGGACACAGACCCGAGGGCCCTTTGTCTCATAATCCATCCATAGAAATGGTAACTAGCTGGTGCTGGTGCCAAAGTAGCATATCTTTACAAACTGCGGGATGTCCACTAGAATTTAAAATAAAGTTCTGTGTGTTTGAATGACGCTTGGCAGAATAACATGGGTTTGTATTCAGACACTGTTTACAGTCACCGAGTTTTAGAGGTTAAATTTCCAAAAAGTCACCAAATGAAAGTTTCTAGAGAAAACTGTGTAAAGGGCTGTAACTCCGGTACATCACCATCCTTCCTGGGGGGGGGGGGCTGGAAACACGAGTTTCTCTGTGGAGGAGGTTGAGATGAGCTCAGCTGGTCTCTGTTAACTTCTCCTGATGTCTGTCGATGCATCACTCAGGTTAAAGGTCACAGGCGTCATGTTCACATCTCCTGTCGGGATGTTTTTACTTGATCATTAATTGGCAGAAACCTAAACGGCTGCAAACAATGCGGTTGATAACTCAACATTTTATTATTACATTACTTCTTTTCTTGAGACTGTGTTAATCTGTCAGAAACAGTCACCTGTGGAAACTCGAGAACAAAGTCAGATGAACCTAAAACCTCATGAACAAACATGTAGAAAATCAATCTGCACAAACGGAACCAACACAAGCTCAAAAAACCTTCCAGAAACGTATCAACATGATACAGTTTCAAATGAATGACTCTGACTGAGGCTGAGGCTCATGGGTACTGTAGTCTTTAAAGTAAACAACAGCTCTTAGAAGTTGTAACTGTAAATTTACAGTGAAAACGAGGTCAGGAAGCCAGAGCTCTGTCCACAGGTGAGACTTGACCAGGCAGCAGAAATTCATCAGTTCTGGTTGGTTTTTGTTGGTGTCATCCTCCAGATCCCCCCTCTCTCTTCTCTTCTCTCTCTTCCTTCTCATCCTCCCAGCAGCCTCCTCTTCCTCCGAGTGTCTGATGCCTCTGTGCTCAGTGACAGCAGCATCACACACGCAGCAGCTAGTTCATTCACAGTCAGCAGTGAGCCTGCAGCGCCATCTGGTGGTCATGACTCACGAGTGCAGGCTTTCAGTTCAGGGCCGCAGCGAGACGAATGAATCCAGAATCAAATCCACTGATCAGTTCTACATTCCTTCAAATCCCTTGTCGAATCAGCAGCAGATAAAAAATTATCCACTTCCTCGCTTCCCTCCTCTGCGGATAAAAACTCCTCACTGTGGTTTTAAATCAAACATTCAGGAGGAAGTAGTTTATTTTTTTGGGACTATTTTAAGCCTCTGAGACAAATCCAAGAAAGAACTGCTCATCATTACATGTTTATATTTTACTGAAAGAACAACATTACTTCAGCGTTCACCCAAATTAAAGCAATAATAAGAGCAATACACACACTGCGTCATGACGAAGAAGCTATGCAGAGTGAGGGGATGAGAATATTAATACCTGTTGCACTAATACCTGTCTATCTATATCTAATCTACTGCCTATGTGTGTGAGTGTGTGTGTGTGTGTGTGTGTGTGTTAATGAGTGTGTAAAGTTTCAACCATTTTCATTGTTTGGACGACAGACTGCTGGGAGGAGCCGCTTTTACCCATCATCCACTGCTTCACTTTTCCACAGAACTGCATGAATTTACTGGACAGAGAAAAAGTCCAGGAGGTTTTTCATGTTCAGCACATTAAATATTCATTATTTACCAAACTACTGACGGAATAATTCAGTCTGAATGAACAACAAATGTAGAGGAGTTTGTCTTTGGCGGAAACTAAAAATAGCATTTCCTGTTTCCTGTTCATACTACTACTACTAAAGGTAGAGAGCGATTCTAATTGAGAGAATATCGCTGTGCGCTAAAACAAAAAGTCCAGTTGCTACACAGCCCTGTACGGAAGCCCTGAAAACATGTTGTTGTTGTTTTTCCATCAGTGTAAACAACCACCGAGAGGCAAATGATTTTTCTCCTGGGGAAAAGAGCGGCTGTTTTGAAGAGATGACTTTTTTTTTTCCACGACAAACAATCCTTTCAGAGGCAGAAGAAGTGTTTTCCTTCCCAGAAAAAAATATTCTTTCCTTTCAGGGGTTGTTTAGACAGATGACAAAAAAAACCAATCACTTGCCTCTCTGGGCTTCTGTATGCGAAACAAAAAAAAAAGCGTCTGGGACTGAGGTGCAAAATACTATTCCTGCAAATGAGCAACAGGAGGCACTGGTATAATACTGTACATCAATAAGTCACGTTCTTATGAGGAACATATTAGCAAACAGCTAACGTACCACATCCTGCAGACACAGGATGGACGTCTGTGTCTTTGTGTCATTATCTTCGATTTTCCAACATCGTTTGTTAGTAACATCCAATCATCGCGTGTTAGCTCCTCAGGTGGGGGTGGTTTTCTATACCAAGGTGAGAATGACTCAACTATGCAGACAGACGAACCAACCAATCAGGTATTCTAGGGCTGATACTGATCAGCAAATGCTTCCTGTTCATCAATAATGTTTACAGGGCTCTATAAAGCTGGAGGACGCACAAGCGTGAGATTTTTAAATTGGTCAAAATCCTGACTTTGGTCCCCGTGGGTCACGTTATGAAAACACTGGATCCTACACTTCACACAATGCAACTCGATAGCATCTGTTTTTACCAGAGCCTGCTGTTACATATACGACCCTGGTCCTCAACCCAGGCGTTATCAGTCATGTAAATGTGACTGTGCAGAGGGCTTTTAATTTGAAACATCAGGTCGAGCCTTAACATCTGTTTTCTCACTCTGAGACGGACCAACCACGACGTACACGACTCTGTCGCTCTTTAACAACCGCAGTACGTTTCCCGTGTTATTTTTCAACTTCAACACAGAAACATATTCCTCTACAGTAGCAGTTGTTCATTTTAATGACTCAGTATATTTGTCATATTTCATTAAGCAGAATCAGCAGGTACATTCAAAAACATCAGGATAATATTTAAACGATAAACCAGTTTTGAATAACACGTCCTCCCACCTGCTCCATCCCACCTCATCGGTTCTCGAGGTCCAAAGTCCAAAAAAAAAAAAAATTTCTGGCAAATAATGAACTGAACTTTAGCCATAACTGAATGTCAAGCAATAATGTAAATGTTGTATTTTATCTTTCTGTGTATAGTTTGAAAATATAGCATGTCAACAGAGATTCTAATTTATAAAATTCATTTTGGGGTCTTCTTCTGAATCCTGTGTTACTGGCTTATTTACTTCATCCGTCACATGACCACGTGCACTGACGACAAACTTTCCTCCGTCCACGCCGCCTCGGTTTGGCCGTCGTTCTGTAAGTAACTTTATTAAAACGTCCGTACAGGCCACAGGTACATACTGCTATAAATGGCTACTGAGCGTCACACTTTCTATCTGTTGATTGATCTGCATCATGATGTATAATATCTGGTTTGATATGCACTGCTCTCTGTTAGATTTAGTTTAGTTGCAGGGAGCAGCAATTTTTGTGTTTCTAATATGCGTGTGGTGCTAGTTTAACTTTAACGGTGGCAGGGTCTTGATTTTAACAACTATGCCACATTGTGTGTTTCCTCGCGGGGCGACACGTTAAAGGAAAATTCAGTCTTTTAACATCTTGCATTTGCATCACAGTGGTTCCATAGTGTAGTGGTCATCACGTCTGCTTTACACGCAGAAGGTCCTGGGTTCAATCCCCAGTGGAACCAATCCTGTCACATGATCGAGGCAACTATGGTAACAAGAGAAGGTCAAAATTCATAGTGTCAAAATCTGCGCCTGTCATGTTACACAGGAAATGAACATTTGCTTTTTCTTCACAGCACCGTTCTCGTGTTAATTCATCTGAGCGAGTGATTTGATCAGACCTTTGTGTATGATTGAGGTACACAGCTTCTCTTCCCCGGCTACTGTCCTGAGTCGTTAGAAAAACTGAATTTTCCTTTAAATGATCAAATGTAATTATGATTATGAAATATCATAGTCGGAGGATGTTATTGCTCAGCCTGCACCTGTATCAGTGCGTCAGGCCCGGGCCTGTTTCTTTGTTTGAACTGGTCAAACATGACTTCCTTTGTTTTGATACGAAGCAGAGCTGCTGTATCTGAAATGTGCTGAAAATAAAACAGAGAGAAACGCAAATGTTAGTTTTCTTTCAGAGTCAATCCACAAGAACATTGTTCTGATCGCTCAAGTTGCAAGCTTGAATCCAAGCTGACCAAGACCTCTGTGCTCTGCCAAGGAGCAGGGTGGGGGGGCTCTTCAAAAAATATCAAACTATTCTCTTATCCAGAGTTTGGTGGGAAGCTTTCCTCCACAGCACCGTCGGCCATCAAACTACATGAATGTAATACTTTTGGGGCAGAAAGCAAGGAGAAGGGTGAGGTAAAGTAAGGTTAGTTAAGGTAAGGTAAGGTAAGGTAAGGTGAAGTAAAGTATGGTAAGGTGAGGTAAAGTAAGGTGAGGTAAAGTAAGGCAAGGTGAGGTAAGGTAAGGTGAAGTAAAGTAAGGCGAGGTGAGGTAAGGTAAGGTGAAGTAAAGTAAGGCAAGGGGAGGTAAGGTAAGATAAGGTGAAGTAAAGCAAGGTTAGGTAAGGTGAAGTAAAGTATGGTAAGGTGAAGTAAAGTAAGGTAAGGTGAAGTAAAGTAAGGCGAGGTGAGGTAAGGTAAGGTGAAGTAAAGTATGGTAAGGTAATGTAACGTTAGGTAAGGTGAAGTAAAGTAAGGCAAGGTGAGGTAAGGTAATGTGAGGTGAAGTAAAGCAAAGTAAGGTAGGGTGAAGTAAGGTAAGGTAAAGTAAGGTAAGGTAAGGTGAAGTAAAGTAAGGCAAGGTGAGGTAAGGTAAGGTGAGGTGAGATAAGGTGAAGTATGGTAAGGTAAGGTAAGGTAAGGTGAAGTAAAGTAAGGCAAGGTGAGGTAAGGTAAGGTGAGGTGAGATAAGGTGAAGTATGGTAAGGTAAGGTAAGGTAAGGTGAAGTAAAGTATAGTAAGGTAAGGTGAAGTAAAGTGAGGTGAGGTAAGGTGAAGTAAAGTATGGTAAGGTGAAGTAAAGTATAGTAAGGTAAGGTAAGGTGAAGTAAAATATGGTAAGGTGACGTAAGGTAAGGTGAGGTAAGGTAAGGTATGGTTGGGTGAGGTAAAGTAAGGTAAGTTAAGGTTAAGTAAAGTATTGTAAGGTAAGGTGAAGTAAAGTATAGTAAGGTAAGGTAAGGTGAAGTAAAGTATGGTAAGGTGACATAAGGTAAGATGAGGTAAGGTAAGGTAAGGTAT